TTATAAAGATCTGAGTTAGGGGGAGCATGTAGATATAGGAGGGGCTCTTAGATGGACCCCTGGGGGAAAGCACATGTGTTTTTTGTGCTCTCTGATTTAAATTTGCCTACTGATATAAAAGGTTGCTGTCCTGCAAGCAGGATTTTAACCATTCCAGTGCTCTACCAGAGAGGTTGACACAAATTTCTAGGCGCTCTAATGAAATGAAGTGATTAAACGCGTCAATTGCTGCACAGAATTTTTACAGGTGTAATTTTTTACATGGTCATTAAATACGTTGGTAAGGGCGGTATCTGTTAGAGCAACAACTGATTTTGTAATGAAGGTGTTGAACTGCTGAAACCACTTTCCCACCAATCTTATAGATGATGATAATTTTTTATTATAATCCTCCAAGTTGCTATTTTTCAACAGTGGTTTGATTATTGTTTTTAGGGCCTGGTGGATAACGCCTGCCAAAAGGGAGACGTCTATTATTTGAATTATAGAAGAACTTATGACAGGCAGAGCTTTCTAAAGGAAACCTTTGAAAGCTTCTAAATTTTTGCATCGTATTTGGAAAAATTATAAATTTGGACATAATCAGCTCTGGTTGGAGGAAACTTTGTTAACTAACCTGATATAGATGTACTGACTGCTCCTCTTTATTAAAGAAGTTAAATTTGCTCAGGTAGTGATTTAGTGGAGTTCAGATGCTACAGTTACAGGAGGGTTTGTTAGTTGGTCAACTGTGGTAAATGAGGCCTTGTTTAAAACCTTTGTTTCTAGAAATTACAGCCAAGAAGAACAGATGGCTTTCATTCAGTGAGGAATGGAAATTAAGATTATAAATGGCTGATTTTTTTTTTTTTTTTACATATTGTTGGTCTTAGCATCAGATGGAACTAACTGCAGACATCAGCTCATCCAGCTGCCACATTAATTTCAGCTTAGTTTAATTTACTTCATCTGAACCTATTATGTTAAAACACTCAATCAGCTCATAGATGTGCAGCCCATAGTTTAATATTCTACATTTTATGAATTTTATAAACATGATTTTAATAAAATCTTAATCTTGAAACTAAAACTAGTGGTTATACTTTATATTTATTCCATTTTAAGATGATTTCAAGACAGGAATCAAATGTTTCTTACTTTCTTAGACTTTTTAAACCTTCCCATTATGGCAGCAGCAGTTAGTGATGCACTGATTTAGTTTTTTTAAAGGACTTTAACCCAACAAGCAGAAAACACACCTGACTGATTAACAAATGCTCAGCATTATGTGCTTTAAATACCTTAATCTGGTTTAACAGCGCAAAGAAAGCAGGTAACACAGACAAAAAGGTTTGATAATTGCAATTACCAAGACAGAAAAAAATGCCAGAAATTGACCAAGTATCGCAGTAAACCATCCAGCACATTGTATAGCTTTCAAGGCTGTATTTGAATTTTCTGGCAGCCCTTGAGTCAATGATTAAAGCCCAAACGATCTTCTTTATGTGAAGGGTTCACTGCAGAAGGAGGCAGCTGAAGTGACCTCCTTTCCCAGCAGCTGGTAATTGCTCTGTGCCAGAGAGTCATGTCCTCCAGCTTTTCACAGCAGCTGAAGGAGAACATGGAAATTATTCCTCCGCAATATTTAACAGCCCCACATTTTTCAGTGATGTATAATTGAATTATTTTGCCATTTTTAGGCAATTTTCTTTAAATAAATAGTGGTTTAAATCTCACTAGGTACCTAAAATAATAACACGAGAAAAAAAAGAACAAGTTTTAGGGATTTTCCATCAGACTCAGCAATTATGACCGTTACTTTCTCCATTTTAGAAACACATCCATCTCTCCCACTGAACACCAAAATATACATCTGAACCATTCTGCCTTTTTCATTCTGAGCATCCAGAGGGGTTTTGCTTTTCATCATCCAAGTTCTGTCACAAAAGAAAATAATTGTTAAATCTTTATCCTCTTTGTCAAAACATAAAATACATAATCAGATGCATTTTAAAGGTTTGGACACAGTGCCCCCCTGTGGAGAACAGCTAAAAGTACCACAGATTAACATCAACACATAATATTTTTTCCAAATCCTTATGGATTTGATAGAATTACCAAATAAACTGTAACATTTATTGTTAACAGTCTGAGGCAGGATATATAGGCTAGATAGGACTTATTTAACAACTTGTTGTCGGAAAATTTCTCTCTCTCTTCTATTATATATTAATTTATCCTATTTACTCTCAATAAAAGTTTTCACTTAGTCTGTTTCACTCTCAAGGCCACACCATTCCCTGCAGGATGGTGTTTGTAGACCAGACATATCTTCTTCCCATAACAAACCAGATTCTTTTTCAAGGTTTATTCATAACATGTTACTGTTAACCAAAGTGTGTGTAATTTGTTATGACTCTGACTACTTTTCCATTGTTATAAAAAAGGGGGAACGAACGCTGCCCAGATCAGAACAGGGCAGAATGCTGTGCCATAAGGCTGTATGATGATCTGTTCTCTCTTTGCAAGGATATGAAAAAATGTGCCGACTGAGTGAAATCCATCGATCTCTGTTTATTTAACTAGGATGAATAGTTGGAATACTTTTTTTCCACGACAAACTACTTGCCTTTTTACTTTAAACTTTGCTGATGCTGGAGCTGATATGGCACCAAAAAAAAAAAAGTAAAAAAAAGTTTCATTTTAACAAAGAAACAATTATTTGTTGACATTTTAATGAAAAAATAAAAATAAAAGGCTAAACCTCTACTTTTAATTTAAAAAAACAAAACAGGACTTGTGTTTATATTATCCAGCAGCCATTTAACCGAGAAGCACACTCTGAACTGGTCATATCATCACGTCAACCAAGAGAAAAAGACGAAAAACAACCAAACATTCACAGCTGAGGACATTTTGAGACCAACTTCTAACTCAGTGCTGAAGACAAACGTGAGGCTGAAGTTACACTAACTGCTGTCATGTAGTCATAACCGTTAGACCAGCACCTAATTATTGTCGCATTAACCTTCTCTTGATGCTACAGTAGTTCTGCATTTCCTTTTTTTTTTTTTTTTTACATTCCATGTATTTAATTACAAACAAAAATATACATGAATTGTGAGGCATAACTTTATAAACTGATAATTCAAACATCTTAGTCATCAGTTTGTTAGAATAATAGTTTAAAATGTGTAAAAAAGAGACGGCTCTCAGCTTCACTCAAAGTATTTTCATTAAACCGTCTCATCAGTCCCAGTCAATATTCCCCTTTCTTCCTTTGGTTGGTTTACCGTTGGTGACCAATGTCAGCTGCTTCAACACAGTATGCATGTTATTTACTACCTTTCTGTGTAGAAATGTGAACATTTGCAGGGCGGAGCAGCAAATCAGACATAAAACAAATCAAAGACAATAATGGAGTCTTTATTTTGTATTTCACTGACAGTTGTACATGTTTTATAAAATAGAACCCAGCACTATCTGTCTAGAACATATTCCCCTATTATCCTAAATAGACTATTCACTTTTATTACATTTTTTACATACTTTATATATAGTTCAAAATTTGAAATGTATTTGACATTGCATATATTTACAATAATGGACTAAATCAAAAATCTAACCATCATACTGTACAATGGCCCTTGGAGATGAACAATAACTTACATTCAGATGATGTGGCACAATCTGACACCCTCAGTCACGCCAACATTACCGCTTCCTTCTTACTTCTGAAATACTGCTTTTCTTTTGCATCTTAACAAAATGTGCTGCTGCCGTGAAGTCAAAGGCAGAAATGGAAAAATCAATGTCGCCATTGGCAAGAGAAATAAGTCTGAAAACCACTAATGATAGAAGTATTCAACCAGAAAAGGTCGATCTGACAAAAAAATAAGCAAAATCGGAAACAACCTTCAATTAAACGTGCAAATTGAACTTGTTTGACTCTTATAAGAGGAAAAAAAAAAGGTTAATCCCTCTATTTCATCGTCTCCACATGCAGCGTCCTGACCCAGAGTAAGCAGTGAAACCCCAACAGCCTCAGTACTGATGTGTTGAAAAGTCAACACATCAATACTGAGGCTGTTTTATGTACAGTACTAGAAACATTTCTGTATCACTGGCTTCTCTTTAGGCTTAGTAACACAGAATTGGGCTTGATGGATAATTCAATCAGAGCTGTCTGTTACTCCACCAGGATATTTCTGCTCCAAGGATTAAACGGGAGCGCAAAGATTAGAGGTTACATTTAGATTCCATTCCATGTTTGATCCAAACAGTAAATAATGTGCATACTTAGAGACAAAAGGTGAACAATATTGAAAGATAGAACCAATAAAGGTAAAAAAAAACAAAAAAAAACAACATGGTGCAAACAGACTTTACCTTTGGCTTTTAGTGCAAGTCTGTTTTTGGGTGTGCTGAAGGAGCAGATGAACATTTTGTTAGATTACCATGTCTGTGTCCATTTTATTGATCAAATGCCTACATTCAGAAATGTTTTCATTTACCGCCGACATAAATAAAGATAAATGAGCAGGTTATTTTTCTCATGTAACCAAAAACAAGGATTTAAATGAAAACAAAGGTAGAAATACAGTTCATCCAAAATAATACGAACACACAATTGGAAGCATAACCGTTGAATTTCCACAAATAATCTCACTTCCTGTATTGCACACAGAAAAAGAAACAAAAAATAATTACAAACGAACTAAGGACAACAAATGCAAACCCATATTCCAACGAAATACAGTGTTTTTGTTTTTAGGCACATAAGAACATTCAGTCACAGGAGGAAGATATCTTAAAACCCCAATCTGGATTTCATTTCATTAAAGAAAAAAAAAAAAAAAGGAGAAGGCATTGCAGAGCGATAAATCTATTAATATCGATGGTTATAAATGAACATACAAGCATTTAGGATCTAATAAAAATGCCTGAATGCTTTCATGAAACATTTAAAACATGTTTTTCTTTTAGATTTGAGATTTTTGAATTTCATATATTTTTTTGAGGAACGCTCTTGGTGAGTCTGAGGGGGGGATTGTACCCGTCAGCTGTGTGTGATAAATATGCTTTTTGGCTTTGTATTGATGTGGTAATGGCATTAACAGTGTTTCCCACCATGTCCTAGTCTGACCCTCGCTGTGTTGTTACGTCCCTGCTGTGTCTCTGTATGATTGTGTGTGGCGCCGCTGGTTCCAGGGCGTGTAGAGTCTGCGGTATGTGGATGGACTTCCTGACTACAGAGGGGTGTGTTTGCACTCTGCCCGTTTCTTCTGACTGCGCCGGATCTTGTGAATGTGATGTTTGCATTGTCTGTGGGATGAGTGTGCAGGGTGGTCCGCCTGGGTCCTTCATGGCCATACTGGCTCCCACCATGGCCGGATAGCTTCGGTTCCTCCTTAGTCCTGCATTTAAACCTGGAAGCCCACCCCCGAGTCCGCTGGAACTGAAGGGGGCCAGCAGAGCGCTTCCAGAGGAGCCGGAGGCAGAAACAGGAGAAAGGGTTCGGAAACGCTTCAGTTTGTCCACCAGTCCGAGGTTTGTCACGTCGCTCTGGCCGTCTTCATCCATCTCGCTGTGATACTCTCTCTCCAGATCCATCAACACTTCCCTCAGGATGGTGCGGGCGGGCTTTGAAGCGAGGAAGGCATCGTAATACGGCGGTTCCTCTTTCGAAGGGCTGAACTGAAATGCAGGACGCGCGGTGGCAGAGGAGGCAGATTCTGGCTTGGCTAAGCTGGGGGGGGTGGAGGGCTGAAGGAGCAGAGTGTCTGGTCGTTTCACCAGCTGTCCGACCTCCTTCTCCTGTGACTTGGCTGCGCTCCTCTGCACCTGCACCCTTTCAGTGGGTGTTGAAGTACTGCTGGCACCCAGCAGCCCTCGGTCCCAGCTGCACGGGTCATACACTGAGGCAGATATCCCATGCTCCCGCAGGAGGCGGACAAGGCCTAGGGAGGTGCTGGTGGTCTTAGTGGAGTCCCTCAGGTTGGTTGAGGACTCGCCAAGGGAGAGCGATAGGGAGAGGCGGCGTGGGGTGCAGCAGGGGGTGTAGGAAGGTGTATGAGGGCCTGAGAATGGTACAGGAGAGGAGGTGTGGGAAGGAGTGCCGATGGCAGAGCTACTTTGACATACAGCTAAGGCAGGGCTGGAAAAGAGAAGAGATAAAAGTAGAAAAGACAGTAAGTAGATGGAAAAACACCTGAATTTTAGAAACAGATTGACTTGAGTTTAAGTAATCCAATGATGACTTAGTAGCTTTGATTCAGTCAGGCTAAAAAAGCCTAAAAAAATAACACAACGCTAGGAATTATTTTTATTTGCAGTAGGTTTCAGAAAGCTGCTGGTTTTAACAGAATCTCTGAATCGGCAGCAAAAACAGTCTGCAAATAAATTCTGGATAAAAATGATCTACAGTCTGCAAATAAAAGACTCTTGGAAGCTATTTCTCATAGTCTGATAAACAGAATAATTTTAGCTTCAACAACAACAATAAAAACCACTGCAGTAAAAACATTTCCTAAAACAGTCCTTTCTGCAAATCTACATGACCTTTTTGTGTAAGCCATTAAAACATTTAAACCTTGTCCAAAAACTTGAATAAAACCTTTTGATCGGTGGATCTCTTTTATTCAAGCACATCAGAAAATAACTCACTAAAGCTGAAAACGGCTCACAATCAACAGCTTCTCCGATAGGTTCACTATGGCTTTAAAAAAACAAGTCTGACTTGTTCAAGCTGCCAAAATGACGAAAAGAGAAAAGCAAAGGACGCTATAGCTAGTATATTTATAAGGAAACTCTGGGTGTTTTCTAAAGCTCTACTTTACACAAAGTAATGTAGTTCATGTTTGCAACATGCTGCATCAGAAAGATTTAGTATTAGACAGGCAATATGTGCAAAAAACACGAAAAGACAGCTTTAGTCAAAACTGTACGATTTATGTCACAGCATGATGGAACAAAGTAGGTTTAGAAACTAACAAAGAAACCAACTATTATTTTCTAAGCTAGAAGCTCAAATGGCAACGTAGAAATAATTAGCATAGCTTCATGTATCCACATCTGGACTTCACCTTCCTAATTTTAGTGTAACACAATTCCCTATCAAATAACAAAAATGTAGTAAAAGACTATTAATATTGAAAAATTAGGCAGTATTTTACCTTTCAATTAACGGCGTAAAAAAAGACAATTGTGACCCAGAATGGACGAATTTCTTTGCTAAAATTTGACAGTCAAGAGTCAACCAGAAGTGACACAAAGACGGAAGTCTGGGGTCATTCAATAAACCAACATCATTATTAAACAGTTCAGGTAGACGGTAAAAACAGTGTTAATCTGGTAAAACTGTAAATTGCTGATTAGTCTAAGAAATCCTCCAACAGCAGATGTCAGTGTGCTCTAGTTTTCTGGAGTGAGGAGGAGTGGTGTGACTGAACACACCCTGTTGGGCAGACATCTTCATTAATGAGGGAAAATAGTTCTCTGGAAAAACATTTGGCTTATTTAGTAAAACTGTTACCACCTGGCAAACTATCTGAGTTTAACAAAGGGGCATTCTCACCTAAAAACACCTTCATTATTTATTTTGGATCTTATAAAGTTAAATCTAGATTTTTTTTTAGCTAGAATAAAGTCTATCTTTGATACTTCACCTCCATGCTTCAGCCACTGCAGCAGCAGTCAGTTTACATGTAGACGCTTCCTTTTCACGTCATAGAAGAGAGCAACAAAATCTCAAAATAATGGTCTGGAAGTGCTTTTTTAACTATATTTGTTAGCAGTTATTTATTTCAGTTGTGTGACATCTATTTCAACACCATTTTATCAGTGTTATAATATCCATACAGCTATTTAACTTCATTAAATATAAAGGATGTTATAAAGCTGTCTTTCATAGTTGGCGTAATGTCGCCACCTTCTGGTGAAAAACTTTTTTGCAGGAAATTTTCTAAATGTTTTTTTTTTTTCAATCTCTGCTGATATATATATATATATATATATATATATATATATATATATATATATATATATATATATATATATATATATATATATATATATATATATATATATATATATATATAAATAAATAAGACTGATTAATCATTTTAGACCCGCCATGTTTAGACTTATTTTCTTTAATCAGTCTTAATCTTTCTGCTCCAAAAGGGTAAAATAATAAAACAACAAGGAAGACTTTAAAGGAATTCCTGACTTTTTTTTTTTATAGCTCTATTTATTTGTCTTCATGCATGTTTTTTTTAGTACTGTCAGTATCCACCTCAAAACGAACAGATTAGAAAACAAGCTTAGAGGCAAACCCTGATGTCACTCAGGTTCAAACACACCCAAAGTCTTTAGGTCTGAACAACCATGCAGGTTCTCACCCATCTGCACACTGAGAGGTACTTTCAATGGGTTTGCTCTAATTCTGCTATAAGGGCTACTTGATACAGATCCAGCTCCTCTTCCTCATCACATGACCTGTCAAAGCCAATCACACAGCAGGGACACAGACACCTGTGAGTGATCTCCTTCTGAAAATACCCAAAAATTCTGTAATTCGCTATGAAGGCTCCAGGAAATAAATCTCAACAAACCAATTACCAGAGCTAATGCCAAGCTGTTTAAAGTTTAGATTCTGTGTTTGTTACCTGGGCGACACGGAGGTCAGCTGATCAGACGGGTGGAGAATCCTGCAGGTGGTGAAGGTGTACGTGGAGCTGGTGTGGGACATAGACTTTCCTGGGAAATGAGCTGAGACAACATGTGGAGGGAGAACAAATCATTTCTGTTAGTTATGGTGCAAAACGCACCAAAAAATAAACACCGTTAGAAATAAAACATGTAAAGAAGGTGGAAAAAGATCCGTCAATTTAGGCCACCAGCTTCTTATTAACCCTATTTTCTCCTTTAAATCTTATCTAAGATTTAAAGCAAACAAATTTAAAGAAAACAGAATTTAACTCTTTGAACCAAGCATAGGTTGAAGCAAGGATAAAAAAATGAATGAATCAAGAAAGAAAAAATGAGGTCCATGCAGCTTTTTTTCCTATTAAAATAAATTTTAAACAAATGCAAATATTTCTGTGTCACACAAGCCTGGATTTACTTCAACAGGGAACAGGTTGAGCATGTTTGGAGGTCACCCTCCACCACAGCCCCCTGAATTAGCTCCAAGCAGCTCTTGAAGTCATGCATTCATGTGACTCGAACAGCTGCACTCAACACCTGATGCCTCTTTTCAGGCAGCAGAACAGAGCAGACATGATGCGTCTGGATCTCTGCACCACCTGCTACACTGACCACTCAACACCAATCATAATTATGTGTATTTAGCTACACTTCCTTAATTTAAAGATTCGTTTAGACAAACTTGCAAAGCGCTGAGGAAGTTTGAGTGATTTGAAGAAACGCAAAGTGGAGATAGTAAAAGGAGGAAGTGAGAGGTATAAAGAGAATGATAGTAAAAAAGAAAAGTACTCTGTCTGGACGGAGCTGGACGGCTGCGTAGGCAAGGCTCTGCTCCTGGGTGGAGTGAATGTGAGTGTGATCATGCAGGATGGGTTGTCACTCTAGAGATGTGAAATGTCCAGTGAAAGCCTTCCCCTCCCTCCTTTCACCCTCCCACCCATCTTCCTCCTCCCTTTGCTTCTTTTCTCCACATCATCCAGATTAAATATCTGGATTTCTCAGGGATGACTCTAAAACGCACCCTCACCAGGCATGCGGTCCATGGTGGGCGGCTGCAGCGCCTGAAGCTCCTTGAGGTCCGTGTGCCTGTTGATCTCTGAACAGGACGGAACAGGAGAAGAGCAGGACAGGGGAAGGGGCGTGCCTGCAACATGTCCATCTTTTCCTCCGGCTGCTTCTTTAAGGCCACAGATTGCCCCGTTCATTCCTTCTAATTGGCCGTTTCCCTTAATGCCAGCAGCTCTGTTACAGCGGAGGGAGTCAGCAGAGGTAGAATGTAGTGAACCTATCGCAGCAGAGCTCTCTCCTGACAAGCCCGCAAGAGAGTCACATGACGCCTCATCCTCCTCTGGCTGGTCCAGCTGCCAGCTCTCGTCCTGCTCCCGGTCCTGCTCTAAGGTGCGGAAGCCCTTTGTGACCACGCCCGGCCGATGATCCAGCAGAGCCCCCATGTGGGGCTGGGCCAGCTGCTGCCACGCATGGAGGGTAGCAGAACCTGCATGGAAAAAGAAAGGAAAACCTGAAGTCAACTACAAAGCTGTTAAATAGGGTTTATAATCTATAGCTCCTGACTTGTTTACATATGCCATAATAAGCTGTAGATTTAAAGCCCAATTCATTCCAAATGTAGATCTGAAAATGGTCAAAGCACAGAGCAGCTGTTAGGTCTGTTATTTTTTTTATATTCATGGTCAAACATTCTTGCAAATCAATAACAATGCAAAAAAATATTCAGCCATCAAACCTGAACCTTAGAAGAAAATGTAGTTTTCATGGTTTAACTTTTTTTTTAAACACTGAAAACCTTTCATTTAGCTTTAAATAGCTAAATATCTCTTTTCTGCCCTTACTTTACTGAATGGGTGTTTTTCCTTATGTGAAAAATGGGAAATGCCAACTCAAAACAAACAACAAAAGAGTTTAAAGATGAGAAAATGAGACTTTATTAAAAGAGGTGTTTAAAGACAGCAGTAGTTTAACAGAGGCAGAAAGAATTAAAGAAATGGAAAAGCTTAAAAGGTGACAGAGGTGGAGAAAAGCAGCACAAGTTTGGGAATAATCTATCGGATAAGAAGAAAAGACGGGAATAAAAGATGCAGTTAAAATAAGGCAGCCTTGGAGATGATAGAGCAGATGTGTGATGATGAAGAGGACAATCAGAGAAAGAACAAAGAACTAAAACACCTGCAGCGTCTCTAAACAATAAACACCAGGAAACATTTTATAGATTGCTGTGCTACAACTACTCCAGCTCACTTTGTCTGGATTTATTTCGTTTTAGACGAAAATACAACAATCTGCCAATTGAAAAATACAATGATGAATATTATAAACCCTGCACATAATAATCTGAAATGTGACGCGTAACCACGGTTACCTCCCCATAGTTGACGCTTCTACCAGCTACACACATCTAGGCGCAGAGATTTATCGCTGTTTCTTTGCACAGCTGCTAAGGTCTAGTCAGACCGGTTAGACGACGGCTGTGATGTCAATTTTAGATCCTCCATCTGATTTTCCTCTAAGATCTGAACAGTAACACCAAGATACCAAAACATATTTAGATCTAAACCCTTTCATTGGAGATCTAGCAGCATTTCAGCTTTCCAAAATAAAAGCGTTTATTCACTCATTAAGTTACACTAGTTAATTGTTCATTAACCGAGTGAATTTGATAAAGAATCCTAATTCACCTTCTGATACTACTGATCATTATATTCTATTTAATAAATGGGATAACTGCAGCATCAGAGGAATAATTAAATGGTGGTTACAGAACTTTTTAATTGAAAGACTACAATTCATGCAGGCTGAGCAAAACAAATCAGACAATATGAATATAAAATGTGGGGAACCTCAATGGCTCTTCCTGGTGCCAAGCCAGTTCAATATGTTTATTAATGACTTTGTAAAAAATATCAATTGTAATGAAAACTGTGCAATCTGCTTAGGGGAACAATTTGGAGCAACTTCTAGAACAAGTAAGCGGGGAAATAAATGCCAAAATAAAGTAAACCAATGATCACTAATAAAAAAATCATGCAAACTGAAAAACTGAAAACTATTGTACAATTAAATATTGAAAATACAAGAAATGAAAGAGCTCAACTAGATTTTAAGTTGTCTTTAAAACCTCAGATTAGTTATTTTCAAACTATAGTTGCTAAAAGTGTGAGCATCACACCATTAGATGAGCTCATCATGCTTTCAATGAAAGCTCCAGTGTGTGATATATTGATCGTTAAGAGGAATTCGCTATAAATAACATTTATTGCATCTAACTACATCCTGAAAAAGGCAATAAGCTTAAAGGCAGGATTGTTCTGTGATAGAGACGTGCGTCATACACAGAGTTTAGTAGGGAGTAATATCCACCATAAATAAAAAGTGCTTTAACCATCTTAGTCCAGGAAGCCGTTTTATGCAACAGTTTGGAAAAGCAGAAAGAAAAAAAATCGAAAAGAATTTTCAAACAACTTTAATGGCAAAATATTTGGGGAGGAGAGATTGATGCCTCAGTTGAGAGCGTGCAGATAAAAGCTAACGGAGGTGGAATCAGAATATATATAGTGTTGTGATATGGGGGGCAATAAGCTTCTTTTTCAAACCTTGGATTTGTTCTTGTGTGTAATAATTACCATATTTACATCTTTTTCTACCATCTTCAAAGTGATTTAGTCATGAAAACACAATTAAATCTTTTAAGTTTATGGTGTAAAGTGACGACAACAACAACAACAACAAATGAAACCTATTCTTAATTTTACCCAGATATAGAAACGTCAGGCTATAAAAAAAAGGGCATCTACACAAACAACACTTTTGGAACAGACAAAAACTTGCTTTCCTTCCCATAGATGATGCTATAATGCCTTTTTTCCATTATTTGATTGTACATTTAAGATGGCGGCAATTAGTTTAATTTATATTGATGTGGTTGTAATTCCAGCTCTGAACACCAGGTGGAGATAAAAGTCATATAAACCTCAAATATTTGCAGAAGTGATTTCATGCATTAAAGATCTAATACTATGTAATGCTGTTAAACATGAATATGAGAGTAACATGCACTGCAATTACATTATTATTACACCAACTGGGTGATCTTATATTATTTGTATGCTTACAACCTAGCTTTGCAAAGCTACAAGCTACAACTTTAGGGAAGGTTAGAGGTTCATGCAAGTCCTGACTGTAGTCAAGCCTACAAATTAATGCATGTTGTGCAGAATAAGACAATTTGGCTCAATCCCAACACACCCCCTAGCCCTACTTTTTAGCCCTACCCCTACATTTTTATGCATCCCAGTGAGGGTAAAGGTGTCCCAATTGCTTTTTGCATGTAGGGGTAGAGGACATAATGAGAGGGGGAGGGTATGAATCAACCCTTAAAAACAAGAAATTACAGATGCTGACATGCTGGAGAAGGGCAAGAGAAAATTATGCAGAAAACATGTAGAGGGATTTTTACTGATTGACTTTTTTTTTTTCCTTTCTTTTGAAAGCGGCACAAATCCATTGGTATCCTGGATTCACCTGATCCTAGCAGACAACAGCGGTGATGTGAGAGAGAGCCCAGATTGGAGGAGCAGGAAATCAGTACGAGAACACCGGCAGAGAGAGAAACAGAAAACGAAAGAGGCTGCCTGGTGTTCCCCTCTCCGGAGCTAAAGAACCACAGCAGGAGGAGAACCGACGCACCACTGGGCGAGTAGGACAGTAATAAATTGGAGACGCCTGCCAGAGAGATGCGGCTAGGAGAGGCTACAGCTGGATGGAGCTAGCCTCTTGGCAAACTACAGGAGATGATCAGCTCAGCCTGATCCTTCACTGCAGACAGTCCCAAAGAAGAACAAAATAAACTGAATTGAATAGTGGTAGCAAGTAGGGGGTGTATTGGGATTGGGCCTTTGTATCGCTAAGATCAATTTCTTTAAACAGTAAACAGATCATGTGATATTACCCATCCTTCAGACCTGTAATGTTACTGCGCAGACAGTGAGCTTCCTGGCATCTATACTTCAAACAGGCAGCGTGGCTGTGTGTGTCTGAAGTAAAATGAGTGCAGAGGGCTTAAACTACCTTCTTCCTGCTTTAAGGCCCTCAGCAGGACTCTGCTTACAGGTGCTGGTCATAAAATTAGAATATCATGAAAAAGTAGATTGATTTCAGTAATTCCATTTAAAAAGTGAAACTTGTATATTATATTCATACATTACATACAAACTCATATATTTCAGATGTTTATTTTGTTTAATTTTGATGATTACAAATGACAACAAATGAAAATCTCAAATTCATCATATCAGAAAATTAGAATATTGTGAAAAGGTTCAAAATTGATGGCCCCTGGTGCCACACTCTAATCAGCTAATTAACTCAAACCACCTGCAAAAGCCTTTAAATGGTCTTTCAGTCTAGTTCTATAGGCTACACAATCATGGGGAAGACTGCTGACTTGACAGTTGTCCAAAAGACGACCATCGACACCTTGCACAAGGAGGGCAAGACACAAAAGGTCATCGCTAAAGAGGCTGGCTGTTCACAGAGCTCAGTGTCCAAGCACATTAATAGAGAGGCGAAGGGAAGGAAAAGATGTGGTCGAAAAAAGTGTACAAGCAAGAGAGATAACCGCACCCTGGAGAGGATTGTGAAACAAAACCCATTCAAAAATGTGGGGGAGATTCACAAAGAGTGGACTGCAGCTGGAGTGAGTGCTTCAAGAACCACCACACACAGACGTATGAAAGACATGGGTTTCTGCTGTCGCATTCCTTGTGTCAAGCCACTCTTGAACCACAGACAGCGTCAGAAGCGTCTTGCCTGGGCTAAAGAGAAACAGGACTGGACTGCTGGTGAGTGGTCCAAAGTCATGTTCTCTGATGAAAGTAAATTTTGCATTTCCTTTGGAAATCAAGGTCCCAGAGTCTGGAGGAAAAGAAGAGAGGCACTTCATCCACGTTGCTTGAAGTCCAGTGTAAAGTTTCCACAGTCAGTGATGGTTTGGGGTGCCATGTCATCTGCTGGTGTTGGTCCATTGTGTTTTCTGAGGTCCAGGGTCAACGCAGCCACATACCAGGAAGTTTTAGAGCACTTCATGCTTCCTGCAGCTGACCAACTTTTTGGAGATGCAGATTTCATTTTCCAACAGGACTTGGCACCTGCACACAGTGCCAAAGCTACCAGTACCTGGTTGAAGGACCATGGTATCCCTGTTCTTAATTGGCCAGCAAACTCTCCTGACCTTAACCCCATAGAAAATCTATGGGGTATTGTGAAGAAGAAGATGCAATACACCAGACCCAACAATTCAGAAGAGCTAAAAGCCACTATTAGAGCAACCTGGGCTATCATAACACCTGAGCAGTGCCACAGACTGATCGACTCCATGCCACGCCGCATTGCTGCAGTAATACAGGCCAAAGGAGGCCCAACTAAATACTGAGTGCTGTACATGCTCATACTTTTCATGTTCATACTTTTCAGTTGGCCAACATTTCTATAAATCCTTTGTTTTTATTGGTCTTCAGTAATATTCTAATTTTCTGATATGATGAATTTGAGATTTTCATTTGTTGTCATTTGTAATCATCAAAATTAAACAAAATAAACATCTGAAATATATGAGTTTGTATGTAATGTATGAATATAATATACAAGTTTCACTTTTTAAATGGAATTACTGAAATCAATCTACTTTTTCATGATATTCTAATTTTATGACCAGCACCTGTAGAGCCAGGGGAGCTCTGAGGGGAAGCTGTAAGCTCCACAGGCTACAGAGCTCCGACAGACTGGAGCTCCTTCGCAGCTTAGCATCCGGTGAAGAACTCAGGAATATTTGAGCCTCATCCTGGTCATGAAAAATTAAATACTCGGCCTGGGTTGGACTAATTTGCATCTGGCTGTTTGGGCTGTATAGGAAAACATATCTGTAGCCGTGCCTCTGCTCCTGCTTGTGATGTTCTTTTTCACTTGAACTCGGGAAGACTTTTTGGAAATTGATGTTTGCCTTTTCTTTATCCGTTCCAAGAGGTTCGGTTGACCTGTGGCTTTGGAAATAATAATAATCACCTTCTAGCGGCTTTACAATCTGCAGCTTCTCGGGCAGGTAGGACCTGGCAGTGATGGAATATCCCGACCAGATGCTTCCAAAGGAGGGATGCGAGCAGAACGACAGCAGGCTCTCTGTAGGGGTTCCTGGGCCTCCGCTGCCTTCAACCCCTCCTTTCTCCTCCTCCTTCCTCAGGTAGGCCAGCTTTCTCTCCCTCTCTTCTTCAAAAAATCTTTTTTCTGAGAGGTAGTTGTCGCGGCGTAAGGACAGGCGGTGCAGAGCTGCCTCCAGGTCCCTGCTGCCTGGGGTCCCAGGTGTTCCAGGGGGACGCTTGTTGGAGTCTTCCGACCTAAAGAAAGAGACGGACCGAAGAAAGAAAAGGAACTAAACTCTTTAGGGTTTGTTTTGGTGTCAAACAGTGGAAATCAGCAATCTCTGCTGCCCGCACCCATCATCTGGACCCTCCAGGATACTGCTTGTCCTGTTGTCCAGGATGATCCCACTTCCCGTTTCACTCCCGTAGATGGAGTTGGAGCGAGGTGTGCCAACCCTGCTGGAGCGCCCTGAGGTGAAGCAGGAGTTCTGATTGGAGCCGGGGATGTTGAGAGGGGAAGGGGCTCCAGAGGAGCGCTGCTGACGCATCAGGTTGAGGTTTTTCACCGTCTGGAAAACTCGCTTTGGGTGCAGTCTGGGAAAAAAACAAAACGATATGAGACAACATCAAATCATATAGTTATTATAAAATAAATCAAAAAGATGATCTAGGAACAAATCATTGAAGGATGGACAATAAAATTAAAGTTACCTCTGCTCCTCTACATCTGGATCATCCATCTGAAGCTCTTTTCTCATAGTGCCCTCGATTTCTGCCGCAAGGGAGTCCTGAGAAAAGAAAATTAAACCATCTATTCTATTGTTCCAGAGGTTGGATATTAAATCAGCTGTGGAGGTGACAGAATCTAATATAATAAAGCAATCTGCAGGCTGTTAAATTGCATAAAGCTGTGTAGGCTCATGCACTGACCATTGGGAACAAGCCCGGGGTATGGAAACGCCTCGGGGTGCTGAGAGGGAGAGTCTTATTCCTCAGGTTCTTCAGCTCCTCCTGGGCTTCATGCAGGATCTCCAAACATTCTGCATATTTATCCTGCAGCTCACGCAGCTTCACAAGGAGAAAGGAGAGAAAAAATTTAGCAGCTTTGACTATTTTTTTTTTTTTAACCATGTTTCTGTTTGACTTAAAAACATTAAAATCAAATGAAAAAAAATTATAATTAAATTATAATTATAATCATATTTAAATATATTTTAGTCTAGATGTTCTAATGTTGGACTACATGGTGTCACAGTGGGTATCTTATCTTTTCTAAATTGTCCTTAAGGCTGATTTATACTAGCCTTATGAGACCATTCTGATCTCGCGAGCTTTCAAGGTTTCACTCGCAGATCAGTCTGGCTACTTTCCATTAAAGAAAATTTGGAGCTGTCACCAAACGAACGTTCAATCAGCGTTGGCTTTGAGGCGGGTGGAGGTGTGACGCAACGAGAAGCGCGACACTTCAGTCTAAAGAACATGTCGGCTTCAGCCGATGAAACTAGCGTTAGCATGGCTATCGAGCAAGTTTTATCGGAATTACAGAGTATTTCTTCACTGAAAGAAGAGTAAAACACTGCTCTGGAGGCTTTTCTCAGAGGAAAAGATGTGTTTGCTCTTCTCCCCACTGGTTTCGGCAAAAGCAGCAAGAGTAGCCTGGCTTGTGGTTGTGTTTTCGTCGTCGCTCTGTTAGTACGTCATATGCTTTGTTGATCTGATTGGTTTATTTGGCCCGTCTATCACCAACATAGACCAATCAGCTAACCAGTATTTTCGCCCCTTCCCAAAATCACTTCAACCGAAGGTTTCCAGATGGATATTCGGAGCAAATCCATCTGGCGGAGTCAGGTTAGATTTATACTTCCAAACTAGGTTGGCTGCGTGTGTCGCAGTGAACAAAAAGCCGTCCCCATCCCCGCCCCCTCCGCAGACACTCTGCTGCACCTCTCCCAAACTGTAGGTGACCGCAGACAGTGCCGCAGACACTAGGCTACCAATATATAGTCCGTTAGGGAAATTTGTCGCATCGACCTCTGTCAGTATAACAAATGGAGAAGGGGAAGTGACGTATGCCGTCAATGAGTCTGCACATTTGCAGTTTTTTTGTGTAGCAGGTTTACTGCCACCCTTTTAAACGTAGTTTAGGGTTGGTGAAAGAGAATCATACCCCCTCATGACAGAGATCGATGTATATTCACAGAAGTTATATTTTCTGATATATTTTCCGGTCTTTGTGTTGGTTTAAATATTATGTAAATAAAAACAGCTTCTCGTTGTTTAACTTTTAAAATATGCACGTCTTATTTCCTATCAGAAAAAAAAAACATGTTATTTGAAAGAAAATGATTTGATAAGAACAAAGATCCTTCAGTTACCTCAGCGGTGAGCTGTCTCTGGGCGTCCTTGGCTGCACCCAGATGCTGCGTCAGCTCTTCATTCTCAACTGCATACTGTGAACACCAAAGACAACACGGGACACAGCTCTTTATCTACCGTCAAATTTGCTTATGGAGCTTTTTTTTTTAAAGCCTTCCATACAAGCTTCGCCTTCTTCTGCAGGTCCACGATCTGAGAGAGGAGGTGTGTGATCTCTTCCTGCTGTCTGGAAGCGTCCTCGCTCTTCCTGGCCAGTTCTTCTGCCAGAGAGGAGATCTGCAGGTTGGCAGCACCTGGCAGAGTTCAAAGAGGAAAGAATAAGAGCCGGCGTACTAAGAAACAAAGATATAAGATTAGAAAGAGATGAATGAAACCCTCACGGAGCTCTTTCACGCAGTCGCTGACAAGCTGCTGCTCTTTCTCCTCATATGAGATGGTTTCAGTCTCCAAATGATTTGCCTGGAAGGATAAATAAATAAATAACAGTCGTTAACAGGTTTATCAGTAATTATCTTCCAAAAAAAGTAATACAAGGGTTTATTTAATACATAGAGAATAACGTATTAACATTTTGAACCTCAACAATGGATTAAAATACTTTTTTTCCCCCAAAGTCTGAATGTTCATAACAAACAACTTTTCTGAATCGCTTTTTACTCAAATTGACACAGGGTGGATATTTTTAGCCTAAGGTTTTATATATCCACACACTGCACTAATATTTGATCAAATGGCTTCAGCTCGATTCTCCAGAGTTTCAGGCGTTTTGGTTTCTGTCAAAACTCTACATGGACAAACTTTTTTTTTTTTTAAAGCATTTGTGCCAAACTCCTAAAATTGGAACCAAGATGGGTTCATGTCCATCTTAACCATGGAGGATGCAGCAAAAAGACATTTTTTTGTTCACATTAGTTAGATTTCTTTAATTGAGCAGGCAAGTGAGACACTTTGCCATTGGAATAAGACAATTTATATGTAAGATAAGAAAAAAAAAATCTTATCTTATTCCAGTGGTAAAACTGCTCATTCCATTGGCAGATCATCTTATATTCCCACTCAAATTAAGGGTAAATACACTTATCTTAAGAAATCTTTACTCATTTTCATTAAGTTTTGCACTGCAACATAAAACTGCACAAACTGCAATGAGGAAAATAAATCTGATAAAGGGAACAATAAAAATGGACCTCACATTTTTTTTTTTATAAAAGTTACTACGCTCCGATTGGGTGGCTTCTTGGTCGCATCAGAATGATTCTACTTCGCAAACCTGGACTTAGAAAACCTTTTTCCACAACACACAGGTCACGTGATCTACAACTGGACCGCACTGCCTTTTAATACGAAGAAGAGACCAGGAGTACTCAAAGGACTTAAAGGAGGCTGAGTATTTGGCGGTAGTGGCGGCCTACTGGTTAGGGCATAGGGCTTGGAATGTTGTGAGTTCAATACCCACTATCACAGACTTCCACTCTCGCTCTCAGAGCAAAGACCCTTATCCCAATGCTCCCCAGGCGCCCCAAGATGGCAGCCCACTGCTCCCCAAAGGGATGGGTTAAAGAGAGTGAATTTCGTTGCTATGTACTTGTGACAGTGTAATGACAATAAAAGCTGGGGGGAAAAATTTTTTTTTTTTACATTTCGTTCGCAACAATGAACACGATGAGCATTGTTGTTTTCAAGAGCGGGAACTTTTAACTTAATTGTATTTCTTATTCATTGGAAACACTGCAATAGGGAAAACTAGCCTATTTAGCATAATATCAATATAGTTTTAAGCACATTGCAAATCGCAGACAGTGAAACCAGCGTTGGTTCTCCAATACAGATTTATTGGGGGAAATACATCTGTATTGCTCTGAAATACTCTGAAATCTATTCTTTACCTATCTCCACAGCTGCCTTGCAGACCACCCAGATGCCTTCTGGAGAAAGGTTGGATGAGAAAAAGGAGCCATGGATGTTTGAAGCCTTTCATACCAAAAGAAACTTAACAACTATTGAGCATGGTGGTGGCAGCATTGTGCTGACTTAAGTTCTCATTGGCGTCAGACTAAACAACAGAACTCCTTATGTCATAAGAAGCTTCTTAAAAAAAAAGTTTAATATCTTCTCAAAGGGTTAACTTTCTTTAAAAAAAGTTATGGTCTTTGACTCTTTTTGTCTTCTGTGCTTTTTAAAGTATGAAGTTAAAGTTTTTATAGTTGGATTGTCACAGATTTCATGTTTTACAATTAAATCACTCTTTTTGTGATACTGCCACTTGTAAAATAAGACTTGCATCTAAATAAATCCTTATTTGGAGACAAAAAAAGCTTAAAAATAAAATTTAAAAAGTTTGGTCCATCTTTACCTCAGTGGTTCTCAATTCTGGTCCTCTAGTACCCCTGCCCAGCATGTTTTAGGTTTCCCCATGCAGTCAAACACTTGACTCATATTCAAGATTGATTAACAGGCTTCTAAAATACTTAATGCTGGCTGAGGATGTCATGCAATCCTTTCAATCAGGTGTGCTGCAACATAGAGACATCTAAAAGATGCAAGGCAGTGATGCCTGAGGAGCAGGTTTGTCCTGCTTTAACATACTGAGGGACGTTTAACCAAGTATTAATGTGGATGTAGGTAGAACTATATAATTAACTATTTTAGCAGTGGAAGCTTAGCTAATACGTACCACGGATCGCAGTGATTTGTTCTCTTCTTCCAAATCTTTGAGCTTCTTCTGCAGGGAGTCCAGAGGAAACAAAGTTGGGGTCGACACATTAGGTTCACTCTGACGCACCCTGTAAACACACCAATGGTTTATTGTTTATCTTAATATCCCTAAATATATATCCTCTAATAAAGCTTCTGATAAGCAAGATAATTTCTTTTATTGAAAAGCTAATAGCTTTTTGAAGCGGATTTGTTTGTGTTGGAGGGAAAATCAACACCACAGCTTAATGCTGATAGAGCTGATCCCACTGATGGATGATGTAATGAGACTAAAAGGAGGCTTACGGTGTGGAGGTGTTGGACTCCCCCTCGCTTTCCTCAGCTGCATTTGTGTAGAACTGCAGTAACTCATCCTTCATGGATAGGTCGTGACGTAGCTGAGACACCTGGATGAGAACATTTAGACAAATGCTGAACAAAGAACACAGAAAGGAAAATAAAACAAGCTTATTTGGAGAATATAATGACGCCAACATTGGTATGGTGCTCTAACTGAAAACACAGGGTGGCGGTAATTTTCATAACCAGGGAAATATAGCAAAAAACTCAGAGATAGGCAAAAAAAATTGGCTGCACGCCGTATCAGTATCATGACAGTTTGTCATGAAGTTTAAATACTCATAAGGGTAAAACACTGAAGAGGAAACTGCTTTATGATCTCTTAACATAAGATCTAAGGTGGGCTAAAGCTATAAAAACTTTGTACCTCCTCCCGTATGTGCTCCACCTGCTCCTCCAGCAGTTCGTTTCGATCACTCAGAGCTTTGTTCTTCTTCAGCAGCGACTGTCCGATGCGAGCCGCCAACTCCAGGTCCCGCTCTTTCTGCTCAAACAAAAAAGCTTGTTTTAACTACAGACCGTCCATAAAAGAGATGGAAAGCATTTAATATCACATCTCCACATTTTTAAAGGGAAACCCCAAGCTGAGTGAGTTGGATAAACTATACCACAGGAAGCACTTTGAAGAAGAGCAATTGTCAAAAATGTAATACAAAAAATATGAACAGTTTAAACTCTTATTTCCCACATATCATATTTATTTGCATTTCTGTAAATATTAGAGCAACGCAAAGGTATCAGAACCAAAAAATTACTGAACAAAGCATCAGTATCACTTTGAAATGTTTGGAGTCGAATACATATCCACCATTTTACAGGTACCACTAATGCTGTCTATGTCTGTAATATGATAAATTATAATTTTTCAGTTATATGTGTTTTTTTTTTGGTAGAAACTTTTTATCTACACAGATCCTAATGTCAAAGTTCTCCAAAGCTGAGTAAAACAGCTTTAAATTACTGAGAGCTGGAACAGTGGTTTTGTTATAGAAAACTAATGAAGTTTTCATGGTTTACAATATAGCTCTGCCTTATTGTTTGGTTGTAGCTTTTTTCTTTAATCCCCATAAGGATGGTGTCGCAGTTTCCTATGGATGCTGAGCTGTTTTTAAAGTGAGTGAAGCAGGTCAGATGAAATCGGAAGAAGATGGAGAACTCCACGGTGTCTCTTCTGCGTTTGGAACATTTTGAAAAGGACATCTTTTATATTTTTTCCCCTCATTGAAAGAGTAGCTTGGTTGTTCGGTAAAAAAAACAACTGTGAGCAACAGTCAGCAGCTATTCTTGTCCAGATTTACAAATCTAGCTCGTCTGCTTAGTACATTCCCCATTTTCCTGATGATTTGTCAGGAAAGTATGGAGGAAAAAACTTGAGTCTCTTCTCTATTTCTCAAAACACTAGTATCCACCAACAGATAGCTTGTCAGTAACAGTTAGACTCCTTTTGGTTCCTTAATAAACAATATGATGACAAATCGAATACCATTAGTTGTAAACCTGTAATATAAACATACCAACAAACTAAGAAATAGCTACTAAATATATTTTTATACAATAATATCTTTACAGAACTAACAACAGGTAGCAATCCTAACGAGGTGAAAACGAAAGTAAGGGGGTAGAGAGCAGGAACCATATAACTGCTGTCACTGGTTATTATGGACCTGCTGATGTCACTCCCAGCACTTCACTTCCAGATGTTGAGGCAAGAGAAATTTTAGAAGTATTAGGTAAAAATTGTAGATGGCTGCAGTTCAAGATGATTGTTCTTAGCTTTTGTAATACTGAAACAGAGACTAGCTTTGTAGTAATAATGTGACTCTACGTTCTGCATTAGGGGTGTTTTATAGTTTGTGGTTTTAACAGAAGGAATTTAATTGATGTGTTTCATGTTGTTTTTGGGCTGAAAACTTATTAAGGACTTATTTGAAAGTGGTATTTAGTTAAAATATTAAATACTTATTTGTATCTATAAATAACTGGTTATACTATCTGTAGCAGAGGCATAGCAGGCCATGTTTCCCTGTTGTGTGTTTTCTGCTGCGGTTGTTTTAGCCATCACCCTCCGGCTTAGAGTCTTACTCTGTAGGCTAAAAGTCCGCTCTGGATGGTTCTGACCTGTAAAGTGAGATTACTCCATATTCCTCAGCATCCCTACCCTCTCCTGAGCTATAACTGGCTGATGGTTCAACCACACAAACCAATTCCAGTTTTCATCCTTCTCCAAAAGTGTTTTCCCTCTAAAATCACCACATGATGGGTTATTATTAACTGTTAATCAGTGCTGCCATGGAGATACTGAATGTAGGATATTTGTGTTAAAAATAAGTCTGTTTGATTCCTAACAACATAGAACTACCAAGTCTGTCCTGCTGCATGATTTTAATGCAAAATTTGATTAAATCATTACTGCCTCATCAAAACGTTAAACTCTCCTGTTATTGCTGTATAATTACCGGTAGACATGAAATTCTTCATTTTTAAATTAAAAAGCATTAAGGATATCCAACCATTGGGGGGTGTTGATTTTCTGTCAACCTAATACAATAATTCAATAAGAAAACTACGGAAAACTACGAAAAACTCGATTTAAAGTCAGAGTTCTGACCTATTTCTCAGAATTCTGACTTTTTTCTCAGAATTCTGACTTTTTTCTCAGAATTCTGACAGATAAACATGTTGGCATCAAGCCATAGACATGTCTGTTTTAGAGACTAGCCCTTTTGTTTTAATGACCTTCTGCTCCTCCATTAATGAGGGGACCCCTTGGGCACGTAAAATGTTGCCTAATTCCATCACTTTCCTCCAATGTGTCACTGGCCACCTCAAACAAATCACATCTTTGTCAGTGAAGCTGAGTGCTCCCACATCTCTTCCTTCATGGTGCCCATCTACATTAAAATCCAAAATTCTGAGATTAAAGTCAGAATTCTGAGGAAAAAGTCAGAATTCTGAGATTAAAGTCAGAATTCCCCATGTTAACTGAAATAAAATTTAAAAATCAGTTAACTTTTTTTTTCAGTGGCCCTAATCCTCTTCTGTAGAAAACCTTTTATCTTGTGATTTATTTTTTAAACCAATCCTAACACTGGGAACGCCAATAACTGCAGCACTGTTGGATGAACAAACATATCGGTGCAGCAGAAAAGGCTGCTCTTAGTCAACCCTGTACAAACATAATGGGTTTATTCACCTCTGGAAACCAGGCTGGGCCTGCTAACAACAAACACTTTGATTCTTGGCAATAAAAATAGCTCACAACACAAAGGCAATGTGGAAATGAAGAACAGAAAGAAACAATTATGGTAACACCAGAGCTTAGTAGAGGGGGAAAATAACCTGCATTCCAATCTGTCTGTCAAATCTCTGGTTTAATTTGATACTGCAACCATTCAGTTTGCAGACACTTTTGTCTCTCAGTGTCCTACTTTAGGTTCTTGTTTGTCTATGAGCAGCAGGTGATGAATTACATAAAAAAAAAAAAAAAATCAACCTTAAGGGCTGGTTATACTCCCGCTGCAGTGTGTCGCAGTGAGCTTGTTGCAGGTATAACACAGACCTTTCTTATGTTCAATATTGAAGCGTGGTCTGCGCTATGTTTATTCCACGCCACAACGCAAACGGGGAAAATCACAAATCAGCTGTTGGTCTAGATACGGCTGAGGCGGTGAGGAAATTGGGGCAAGATTGTCCGACAACAGAGGGACGTGAGGGTGAAAAACAGCAGGGATCCAGGTGGAAAAAGGGTCCCAGCGTTCTCGCACACCTCGCTCTTCTAACTGGTCTATCTTCACCAGTTGTTTTCCGCTATCGCGGTCATACAAACAAAACAAGTCATTAAGGTACCAAACAGGAAATACACATAGTGTAGAGCAGATGTAGATTTGACCAATCAGAGGCCTCCTGTCTGCGGTCACCTACAATTCGGGAGAGGTGCAGCAGAGTGTCTGCGGAGGGGGCGGGGATGCTCTGCGTTCCCCGCAACACCAAATTATTTTCAAAGTATAAATCAGCCAGGCAACATGTTCAGCGATTCGGTTCTACTAAAAATCCTGTTTTAAACCAACGCATCAGATTTCAACTTAATGTATTTTCCAGACTATAGAGTGCGCCTCACAATAAGCCATGCCCACATAAGTTTTGGGAAAAACCCAAAATGTCCATAGAAGCCGCGCCGGGCTATAAGCCGCTGATATCTACTAAACTGTCTCCCACCAAACCTATAGGGGGAGCTCTACATATAGCCCCTGGAGTAGAGACACAGAAAAATGCTAGATCCTGTTAGCTTGTTAGCTCGCAGCAGTAAGAGCTTTAACTAAAAGATGGGGCTTTGTCAGCTCTTTATTTCAGCTCTGCAGGAGTTGAGCCCAGTCTCTTCATTGGTTTGGCAGCTGTAATGCAGCAAATAAATGTCAAAATGTGCTAATTGGGGACATTTGTTCTCCGTTGTGCCTGCTGCTACCATGTTCTTGTGCCAAAGGAAAATTAGCCCCTTATTCTTTGATTTCCAACTTCTACTTCTCCTGTGGCGGTTAGGAAAAACCTACAGAAAAGAGGCACCTTCTAATGAGCTGGAAGGTTAAAAGCATTGGAAAAAATCTAGTGTCTTTTAGTAGGGAAAATACGGTAATGGCTTGAAAATCCCTGTAAAAAAAAAAAAAAATTCTCCTTTAACAGAGATTGCTTTCAGCACTGACCTCTTCCAGTAGTCTGGTGACAGCATCAACGTCGCTGTAGGTCTTCGTCATCTGGCCCACTCTGTCAGCACACAACACTGCGGGGAAAGAAACACAGGAAAAGCTTTAGAAATAAAAAAAAAACTAAAGAGATTAATGAGGAATAACTGCTCTTAGCACCTGTCATTTTAAAGTGTCCATTAAAAATATGACCCTCGGATTTTGCCTCAAATGAAACAACAAGACAGAAAGCTTTGTTTAATCGCCACTCATGGAAAAAGCAGTGCAAACTTGTTTACCTCCCTGGACCTTTTGGACAATCTGTTATATTTTAAACCTTTGCATTGCATTTAATTACAATTTTCTGAGACAGAACACCAAAAAGCAATAAATAAATTCGATGGAAGGTGGTTTCGTTTACAACTGTGAAACTAGGCATTAATGGAGGAGCGCCAAAACAAATCAACCTTTGAAATGAAGCCATAAAAAGGGCTGTTTACAGTCTGTCATAAGTCAAGTAGGAATCACAGCAAATGTTTAGAAGAAGTTCCTCTGAACAGATAAGGAGAACACGGAATGATCAGCATCATGCTGAGGGAGGAGCTGTCTTTAGCAGAGACAGGGGGAGGCAATAATACCCTCCTGGTTGGCTTAAAAAAACAAGGCAGTGCAATATATAAGACCTTAAATATAGCAGAAAAAGAGTCCTTATAGTTCACTAGAAGTTTGGAAAACTTCGTCATTAGAGCTGCTGATAAAATTATATGGAGGCTTTGACCCGCATAGCGTGATTAGCAGAGGTGTTTCCATTATTTACCCTGGCTGATAGAAGTGGGTGGAGCTCCCCAGATTCTTCTACTTTATATAACTTTGAATAGGAAAATAGCTTATACTTTACAAATATTATGATCGACATATAAACATAGCTTAGCTGCTCCCTCTACATCTTCTTACCTCTTCTAATTAGAAGAATGAGCATAAACAAAATAAGAAAAATAAATATCACCCTTACTTCCCTTATAGACATCATGCTGCCATTTACCCAACTAAAGAGAAAGAAAATATCAGCCGCTGAGTGCATGACTCTGTTTAATGAGGAGTACAAGTTCCTTCATTTTCTGTTTTTTATTTCTTCAGACTGTCCCTGAAATTTCTTGAAATCATGCCTGTCTTTTTGTTTGAATAGAAAATCCCTTTATTGTCCCACAATAGGGAAATTCTGATGTTTAGAGCAGCAAAAAAATGATAGAAAAAAATGGTCACACAAATGTGAACCTTAGAAAAGTGTATAAGAATAACATAAAGTGAAAATTTTAAAAATAAACAAAATACTGTACTGTAAAGTGTTTTAACAATATAAATGCTTTACACCTGAAGAATAAATAACCAATATACAGCTAGAGCTTTCCCACAGCCCCACATAGAAACTCAAAAAAGGCAAAGACATTTGTTTATTTCTGATACCATTGAAGTTTATCTTTAGTCAAAAGGGAAAAGAATGTCATGCAAGGAATATACAAAACAGTCTGAACGCGGAAGACTGAAAGAATGCAAAAAAGAGCCAGCTAATGCAAAGCACCCATTTTATCATCCACATTTACTGCAACTGAATGGCTGCTAGAAACCAGATATACAGTACCCTGCAGGCGTAGTCACACCCCTGAGCCATTTCAAACCTGACCGTATCGGAACTGCAAATTTCCAATTTGAGGTTTTAGGAATGGATGCTTTGATATGAAACCTTTAAGTTAAGCTACAGCTGTAATCAGTTTAGAAACTGTTGCAAAAAAAACCAAAAAAGGTAATTCAACCTGTTTACACCTCTAACTGCACCTCAAGGTTGTTCTACAAAGACCCAGGGGGCTTAATAAAACATGCATGTCACACTTGTTACACTTTATTTCCTTTATTCAAAAAACAAGTTTTTGTCAGTTTCAGTGAAATGCATTAGCCACCGATGGCAGACTGACAGAGCGGAGGCTGTCACACAATCAGAGCCATCAGTCCTCTGATCACCAATACCGTGCAAGACGAGAGAGGCAGCTTGCCAGATGAAGTGGGGAACCAAACCGGCAACCCATCCATTACTGGACAGCAAGATTGAGTATGCATAGAAATGACACACCGTCTTGATATAGACAGCTTGCTCACATATATTTCCAAATAAAGAGGTAAATGTGTTTAAAACCCGTTTCTGTTAAGACGAAGTGTTAGTTTTAATTTAAATTTGACAACTTTCAGCGTAAACGATGTTTGCAAATGGCCGATACACTCATTAAAAAAGGGCCTAATTTCAGCATAGTGTTGAAGACTTCCAGTGTAGCACTGGGGAGAAACCAGGAAGAAAAGGGAAGAAATAAATCCATAATCGCCTTTGTTTTATAACATAATGTGTCGCCTCTCTTCCAAATATCAATAACACGAATGGCTGCTTTCATCAAGACTAGAATAAATACTTGAAAGCTCATTTATCGGCTCATACGATATTTGTTAAAATGAAAAATAAAGAGGAACTAAAAGTGGAATCAGACAGAAATCACTGAAGTACCTGATTTCTTCTCTGACCAATCATGGTTAAACCCCAAAGCCAGCATCACAGAGAACATTCTGATATTAATACATCATCACAAAAACAAAGTTAGACTATGAATCTGAATCTTTTTGGCAAAGCAGACTGTAACAGCAGCACCAATTAAACCTGAGGAAGAACAGAAACATACAAACGTACTGCAGTACGAGTTCAGCCCCAGATAAACCCATATGTTCGCCAAACCACAACATTTGTCTTCATTTGCTATCTGGCGTGGAAGCGTGGAAGGGCAGGGTGCAGCCTGTTTACCTGTCATTCTCTATATTTGTGTACGTGCTTCCTTTCAAAGAACATGCTGGCACATTTCCATGGTGATACTCCTCCCAGGTCAAACGACTAAAGTTAAATACAGTAAGATAATGAAACCCAAAGGCTTCAATGCCAAGAGGAAATATTGATATTTTACTGATTAACCTTTCAGGGACAAATTAACTCAGAAGAAAGGCCAGCAAGAGCAACTGTTAATAAAAGATTTACAAGGCGAATGATTGTGACTTTTAATTATATTCTAATAGTGATTAATGTGTGATAGATTCATAAAATCTCTTCCAATCGAAGCCATATATGCAGCTCAGTGGGATATGAAATTGAATCTTAGTTAATATTTGGTTAAACTCTTTCTAAAAATCAGCTACAACAGAAATCTCAAGCTGCAGCTACATGTAGATTGCTCAAATAAATGTACAATGCAAAGAAAAGGCTTTTTTTCTAGTTTTCATTATTTTTTTTGTTTGTTTTCTTTCTCTCTTATATGTCATTTCTAATTTTGTTCAACACCTAATTATTTTTAGAAGAGGAAAAATGTATAAGGGGTTCCTGGAAATCAGGAAGAATTGTCAAAAAGGAGGAGTCTTAATTGATGCATCAAAGAACCCTTTCCAGAGAATTATCAGATTTTCGTTTACCTTTGAAAAAATATCATCATCATCCTGATTGGTGGATGATAGCTGAAAGAAAAAGTCACAGTTCTTGAGTTTGACTCATTTAAGATAGATCAAACTTGGCCTATTTGATCACAGATTGGAAAAACGGACCGATTTTATTTTAGCTCTAAACATACAAGCATGTTTGTATGTTGATGCGAGTTGAAATAAAGCTGATGGATTCCACATCATAGAGTTATGGTAACTAAGGAGTTACTGTAACACAGAGGAAGGGGCTCCTTAGGAATGTAAAGCACAATAGGGGTCGTCTTTAGATACATCGGGTAAACAACTAGTTTAATTATGATTGTAATATTAAGTGCAGAGTCTGAAATGTCATTCAGGAAGGGAGTGAACTGCGCTGTAAAGAGGAGGTAGTGCACCTGCACGACGAGCACGATTCCCTCCAAAACGTTTATAACTTGGTCATTGTAACTCCTGATGATCACAGTCTCTACAGAGCCCCAAAACAGCAGAGAACTACCTTCACAAAGATGCTGCTCTTGGTCTGTTTCCTCAGTCTCCTCATCCTGTTTGTATCTTCCGCGCCTGGAGAGAAAGACCATTTCCACCTCTTCCTCGTCTTCATCCTCCTCCTGCCTTGTGCTTTCATGAATGGGCAAACAAACATATTCCTCGTCCCGATCCTGCAGGTTGGAGAAGTCAACATTGTCCTCGTGGCCGGACATGCAGAGGGCCATCCTGCTCTTCTGGCTCTACAGCCAAGCAGTCCTCCCAGGCAAAGCCACGTCTCCTACCTGGGCCATGGTTGTAGGTGTGTTGTTTGACAGAGAGATGTTTGCGCTTCCCTGTCAGAGCGCATGGCTCTCAGAAAGGAAAGTGTTGTGTGTGCGTCTGATACGGGGTCAGATCAGCTGTATAAATATGTAGCAGTGTGAGTCTCAGCTGTCCCCTATTGCAGGTCGCTGAGACGACCAGACGGCTCAACTCCTCCTCTCTGCTCTGACTGGTCAGGCTGTGGCCTGCTCTACTTCAGCACAGACGGGGGGGGGGGAGAATCATCCCCACTTTCTCTTAAGTTTCACATTTAATGGTGGAAAACTGGGTTTAAACAGATTAAAACAACAGAAGGGATTTAAAAGCCGCCCTTTAATCCACATCAGTTCAAATGGTGATAACTAAAGATCAAAAGGTTAACGCTGTGAAATGCTGGTTTTTGCTTAAGCTAAAAGGTAGATAAGCACATTCCCCACCCCTCTCAGGTGACACCACCTTGGTACAGTCCTGCCCAGCCTCTATGGTGACACTGGAGCCAGGCAAACACTCACATCCACCTGTTTCCAGGGTGTGGCCAATTCCCCACAGGTGAATGGCTTTAAAGGCATTATCAGACCCATAGAAACATATCTCCCATTCTGTGTGTAATTATCAAATACAGCATTTCTTCATCTAAAAGGATGCATTCCTTTCAGATTGTGTCATGATGCTTTCTTTTAGGAACAGGTTCAGGCAGACAATAACCTCTGTCCCTCAGCCTGGTTCTTCCAGTTTGGTTCCTGTTAAAAGGGGACCGTGTCTGCCCTCCTCTTGAACATACTTTAAAGGTTCATATTTGCCTGAATCA